CACACACTCCAGTCTTAAGTCTTCCCAGCCCCTGGCGGCTGCCGGGCTGTGGGAAGTCAGGGCGCATGCGTGGGGTGAGCTGGAAGAAGACGGGCGCTGTGGCGAGTCAGGGGCTCATCTCATTCACCGCACCAGGCGTGGGGGCGCGCGCCCGGGACTGGTCCTCAGGAGTCTGAGGCAGGGGGATTATCAGTTTGTGACCCTGTCTCCAAAAAAAAAAAGCGTATTCATGACCTCAGACTGCGTAGAGAGGATTCAAGGGGAGCTGGGTGAGTGTGGGGCGGGGTTAGGGGGGGTACCCCTCCCGCCTGTCCCCCTCCCGCCTGTCCCCACCCCAGGCAGTGATGAGGATTCCAGAAAGGTCCAAGGCACCTGCCCCTCCCCAGCCGTGTGGGAAGGGATGGAGTTGGAGCTTTGAAGGACGCCTAGGAGTTTGGGGGCAGACGGGGCGGTTCTCAGGACTGCGCCCAGATTCGGAGGGCAGGAGCCGCGAGGAGCGGCCTGCAAGCCCGGTGTCGGTGCCCAGTCCCGGGGAGGCCTGGTTACCAGACCCCCGGGGTGAGGTCGCTGTCTGATGTCCTCTCTTGGCCACGTGGTCCGGGCCTGAGGGACGGAGGGCGCTGAGGACAGGGCACCGGGCCGTGTAGGAGTTCAGCGGGGTTCCCAGCCCCACGCCGGTCCTGGCTGCCCTTTGTCGGGCCCTCGGCCCAGTGTCCCGGCTGTGGCCGGCCCTGGGGGACGGAGAGGCCTGGCCAGAGGGCGGGAGCCCGGCCAGCAGGTCTGTGACCCGGTCACCTGCTGTTTACCTTCCCACCGCCTCGGCCAGCCGGGGCCACGAGGGACCGTGACGTGGACGCCCACCATGGCCTCCCCCACGTGGTTCCCGCACCCACGGACCCATCCTGGGCCCGGGGACCCTCCACCCGGCTGCCCAGCCCCACTGAGGCTGGGGGACCCGGTTCCTGCCGGTGTCCGGTCCCGCGCGTCAGCTACGGTCCTGACCCAGGAGGAGCCCCCCGCCCCTGCCCCCTGGGGCTAGCCCAGGCTCCCCCTCCTCCCCTCTCAGCAGCCGTGGTGGGGGAGGGCAGCACCCCCCCCCCCAGGTCCAGGCCACAGCTGTTCGTGACTCACGGCTCAGAGGACATTGGCCTGGGGCACGGGGTGGCCCGGCCCGGCCTCCTCCGGCTCACCGGCTATTTTCAGAGGTTTGGTAATCGGTGGCATTTGGTGTCCTGGCTCTGGGGTGTGGGGCGGGTGCAGGAGGGGGGGCTGCTCGGTGAGCTGGGGGGTCCGGAGAGGACCCCCGGCTCAGAACCCTCGTCGGAAGAAACAGGCCTGCGACCCGTGGCCTGTCTGGCTCCGTGGGGACCTTGGCGAGGTCCGAGCCTCAGTTTCCCCCTCATGCCACAGGAGGTGGAGTCTGGGGGTGCGTCCTCTCTCCCCAGCGGCCACCCTCCGCGCGGGGGTGTGGCTCCAGTCCCAGATGTTGTCCCCCCCGCAGGGAGAGGGAGGCAGGATTTTATTTCCCCTCAAACCCCTTGCACTCTGAGGCTGAGGATCCGGCCCCGACGTTCTCAGGACTCAGTTTCCCCTGGTAGACACCGGGAGCTCCAGGTCCACCTGTCCCGTACAGGGAAGGAGACCGGGTGCTGCTCCCACGGTGCCAGGGCGGGAAAACCCAGGCCTGCGGCTCCTGCATGGTTTGAGCGCCAATATCTGCTTGGTCCTGCCCTACGTGGCCGGGGACCCTGTAGCTGGGGACCCCCGTGGCTGGGGACCCCCGTGGCTGGGGACCCCCGTGGCTGGGGACCCCCGTGGCTGGGGACCCCCGTGGCTGGGGACCCCCGAGGCTGGGGACCCCCGTGGCTGGGGACCCCCGAGGCTGGGGACCCCCGTGGCTGGGGACCCTGTAGCTGGGGACCCCCGAGGCTGGGGACCCCTGTGGCTGGGGACCCCCGTGGCTGGGGACCCTGTAGCTGGGGACCCCCGAGGCTGGGGACCCTGTGGCTGGGGACCCCCGAGGCTGGGGACCCTGTGGCTGGGGACCCCCGTGGCTGGGGACCCCCGTGGCTAGGGACCCCCGTGGCTGGGGACCCTGTAGCTGGGGACCCCCGTGGCTGGGGACCCCCGTGGCTGGGGACCCTGTAACTGGGGACCCTGTAACTGGGGACCCCCCGTGGCTGGGGACCCTGTAACTGGGGACCCCCGTGGCTGCGGACCCCCGTGGCTGGGGACCCTGTAGCTGCGGACCCCCATGGCTGGGGACCCTGTAGCTGCGGACCCCCATGGCTGGGGACCCCCGTGGCTGGGGACCCCCGTGGCTGGGGACCCCCGTGGCTGGGGACCCTGTAGCTGGGGACCCCCGTGGCTGGGGACCCCCGAGGCTGGGGACCCCCGTGGCTGGGGACCCCCGTGGCTGGGGACCCCCGTGGCTGGGGACCCTGTAGCTGGGGACCCCCGTGGCTGGGGACCCTTTGGCTGGGGACCCCCGAGGCTGGGGACCCCCGTGGCTGGGGACCCCCGAGGCTGGGGACCCTGTAACTGGGGACCCCCGAGGCTGGGGACCCTGTAACTGGGGACCCCCGAGGCTGGGGACCCTGTAACTGGGGACCCTGTGGCTGGGGACCCCCGCGGCTGGGGACCCCCGCGGCTGCGGACCCCCGAGGCTGGGGACCCTGTAACTGGGGACCCCCGTGGCTGGGGACCCCCGCGGCTGCGGACCCCCGAGGCTGGGGACCCCCGTGGCTGGCGGTTGGGGACCTCAGGAGGCGGCTGCCTTGTGCCAGTAAAGCTTGATCGTAAGTCAGCTGGGCTGTCGCTTTCCCTGGGCAAAGTGGCGTCGTGGCGCTGGCCTCGGCTCGGGGCGGCCCCCTTCCCAGAACCTTGGTCTCCCCATCGGGGTCGCGGGTGTCCCCCGTATCCCCAGCTCGCTCTGTCCTCTCCTGGGAACCCTGCTGGCCTGTCTAGGGCCTCATCTCTGACCCTCCCTCAACATCTGGGGTGGGACAGCCTGGGCCCCGGCCCCGGGCCTCAGTTTCCCTGCCTCTCCGCAGGATGAGTTCCACCCGTTCATCGAGGCGCTGCTGCCGCACGTGCGCGCCTTCGCCTACACCTGGTTCAACCTGCAGGCGCGGAAGCGCAAGTACTTCAAGAAGCACGAGAAGCGCATGTCCAAGGACGAGGAGCGCGCCGTGAAGGACGAGCTGCTGGGCGAGAAGGCCGAGGTGAAGCAGAAGTGGGCGTCGCGGCTGCTGGCCAAGCTGCGCAAGGACATCCGGCCCGAGTGCCGCGAAGACTTCGTGCTGGCCGTGACCGGCAAGAAGGCGCCGGGCTGCGTGCTGTCCAACCCGGACCAGAAGGGCAAGATGCGGCGCATCGACTGCCTGCGCCAGGCCGACAAGGTGTGGCGCCTGGACCTGGTCATGGTCATCCTGTTCAAGGGCATCCCGCTGGAGAGCACGGACGGCGAGCGCCTGGTGAAGGCGGCCGCCTGCGCGCACCCCGTGCTCTGCGTGCAGCCGCACCACATCGGCGTGGCCGTCAAGGAGCTGGACCTGTACCTGGCGTACTTCGTGCGTGAGCACGGTGAGTGTGGGGCACGCGTGCGGCTGGGGTGGGGTGGGGTGGGAGCCTTGCCGGGGCGTGGCCGTGAGACGGGGCGTGGCCTTGAGAGGGGGCGTGGCCGTGAGACGGGGCGTGGCCGGTCACAGACGGGCAATGGCTAGGGCGGCGTGTGGCCGGGGAGCGTGGCCAGGCGTGTCACGGTGGGGGTGTGGTCAGGGGTGGGAGCATGGTCAGGAGTGCAGACATGGTCAGGGGTGGGAGCATGGTCAGGAGTGGGACCTTGGCCGTGGTCAGGAGTGGGACCTTGGCCGTGGTCAGGGGGGGACATGGTCAGGGTCGTGGTCAGGGGTGCGGACATGGTCAGGGGTGGGGACATGGTCAGGGCCATGGTCGGGGGGGACATGGTCGGGGGGGGACATGGTCAGGAGGGGGACATGGTCAGGGCCGTGGTCAGGGCCGTGGTCAGGGTGGGGACATGGTCAGGGGTGGGGACATGGTCAGGGATGGGGACATGGTCAGGGCCGTGGTCAGGGTCGTGGTCGGG